TAGAGAGAGAGAGAGAGAGAGAGAGAGAGAGAGAGAGAGAGAGTGAAAAAGTGTGAAACAATGAGAGTTCAGGGCTACCCGCTCGACGTAGAATAGGGTCGGTTTCAGTTGTCTTCTGTTTTGTTTGCGAGTTACAAAATAATGTCTGCGTTCGCTTCCGTCACCTTTCCACCTCTCAGCCGTACTTTATGATGCTTTATACCCACACTATACTGTGCCATACTACAAGTCTATCGTAGAAACATTCTTTCTCCACCTGCCGCCAATATGATACAGTATGTAATGAGGTCAGTTCATGTCATGTAAGTCATAGCGAGCGGGTTTCTTTTTGTTTGGCCGTTGCGCGCGCTTTTGTGGCGATCTGTTGTGACAAAGATAGGCTGTGTTCTTCTGCACGTTCCCCGGAATACCTAATGTGAGATTTACGCTGCCTCACAGAGGTACCTCTTACGCCATTTTGTACTTATACCTTGAAAACAATCTAGGTAAAGGAAAAAGTTCATGTTTCTCTGCGTTTCTGAATGGGACGTAGGTCGGAAATTATAACTTTATCGATTGTTAAAATAATAATTGCCAAGCTGTAATAATATCGTATTTGAATTAGTTAGAGACAGAACATTTGTAAGAAGTGCCGACTTTGATTCACACCCTGAAATGAACGATACAGCCATCACTGCTGACGGCAGCACGTTAACAAAAAAGCCCAACAAAACAAACAACCCACCCTCAACCCCTCACCCCCCAAAAAACCAAACAAACAACAAGCCAAACTTGACTCATAGTTACCATTATTCACTAAGAGCTCACCCAAAACAATGAATGAAATTCCGAATCAATGTATATCTTGTTAGTACACCAATCAGTTTGATTCTCGGGTTCCAAAAAAAATAAATGTTTGACCTTGGTTTTGTCTTTTTTGTTTTTGTTTTGTTTTTGTGAAGTGTTTTACGGCGTTCACAACTGGATAGGTCATGTGAGCGCGCGGGACACACCTATTATTTTCAGTTGGTAGGACATTTCGAATTTTGTCCGGGTGGCGGCAGAAGCCTACTCTTATCGATTTTAGACCACCAAGGGATCTTTAACGTGCGCAACTTGCACACTGGCCCTTCGACATTTTTAGCCCTTGTCCAAGAAGGCTAGGTGTAGATCTTTCCTACCAGAAGATCAGGGGTGTGGCAGAAAGACAGCAGTAAGGAAGAGCCAAGGAGTAGCAGTAGAAAGGCTGCAGAAAG